CGTTATTGTGACAAGCATTATTAATGATGTTACAGTAATGTGCTCGTTACAGCAATGATACATTGCCCTAAACTGGCATATTCCAAATGCTCATCCCCATCCTGTGACAATAGCATGTACGTTAATGAGGTCCCATCTCCATCTGAAATAATGATGTGAAAAACATTTTAAAATTATCATATAGATCTTCAAATCGAACAATTCATATTGTTGTATGGAACAAACATTGAGCTGGCATCACCAGCAGGTATAAACCTTCAGATGGGGAAGCAAATTACTCGCCAAAGACGTCCTTCTCCCTCACATTCTGTTTGCAGATAACCTGTCACCCAGACTGCTGATTCTGTTTCCGTTCCCTCTTCCCTGCATTTGTAAGCATTGTAATATGATTTTGCAGCTTCCTTGGCATAGCATCTTCTACAGCAGGATCACAGCATATCTTGCAATTGTTAGACAATTTAGCTTTGTAAATGGAATTCTTGCAAAGTGGGGAGTCCTTAATGGCTTTCTTTTTAAAAGGGGGAAACTGAGGAGCAAACAGGTTAAAAATAGCCTTTCTATTGAAGAGCTGAGAATCTGTGCCTTTGAAATCAAGAACAATCAAAGCTTACCAAATTAGATTCATTTCTTATGGTCTCGTACTACATTTGCAAAGGAACCAAGAAGAGAAACAGCCTTGCATCATAAAACTTGCAGAACTCTTTTATCCTTTGTTTCTACAGCTTTCAATTCCCATGTTACTCTAGAGTAGCTTTGTTTGAAAAGTAATGAGTTAAGCAATCTGTAGTGAAGGATGTTCAGGGTGAAACATGAAATATGTGAATGAGACTGCTTTGATATTGTGGGGTTAGGCTTGTTTAGAAATAAAATACTACCCAGGTAATAATTTATATTTGGCTATCTATGCTGCCAAGATGTTCATCACAAGGGTAACCAGCCCGTTATCTACAAGGTTATTATTCCCAAAGGATTTTTTTCCTTGTCCACTTTTGAAGCAGTAATAGACACAGAAGACTCTAGAGAGAATCAAGAAGACAAGTCTCTGCCTCAAGGGATAGAACTGCTGTGATTGCTTTCACCTTTATTCAAGGAAACCGAATTTCTGTATGTTTAGTAAAATGACAGTGACTCATAGGGTCATTCCCTGAGACCCTACTGTACAAAGAGACATCTTTCATACATGTAAAGAGAAAGGTAACTTTGGACCTAACTGAATCCAGCACATCCTGAAGAAGACTTACAGAATATCTCAGGTCTGAGAGGTCAACTGAGGATTGTTTGATATTGTGGCCAATACATTTTTCATGATAATACAAGCTAAAATAGCTCACAAGTCAATTCCTCAAGAGGATTAGCATTTTCCTATATTTACTACTGCAGCCCTCATGGGATAAAAAAAACAAACTAATATAATAGCAGTCCTATTGCTTTTGCCAAAACTTTATTCAGGAATTTTAAATCATCTACTAATTCCAGAGTGATAAACACAAAATCAGGGCTTAAATGGTGCTGGAAGCACATACCTGCAGTGTGGTTTCTGGAGCTGGAGTCTGTTTTGCACAACCAAACCTGACTAAATGTTTCTGCTTGAATTTTTGGGAGGAAGGTAGAATTATGTAGCTCATGCAGTGTTTCCACTCCTGCGGTTTCTGAGACCTAGCAGAGGACTGAGGGCATCCTACATGGCAGCAGGGAACACAACTCACATCGCACCTGAGCTAAATGCCAACCAAGCTACCCAGGACGGGGCCAGGGTCACCGCATCAACATAGCACAATAATCATGTAAACCCCAGGTAATTATTTTAGACACTGCACTCCATGGGCATGCCATGCTTCCTTCAAGACCTGAGCTGCCCGAATCATGCAGGTGTGCTCACCTACCAATAGCCTGAGGCTTTCCAACAACGTGCTGACATAGCACTTTGGACATGCGCATAGCCTCTTTCTCCTGAACAGATTCCAGTTATATTAGCCTCCATCAGGGATCACTCTCCAGCCTTGAGTCCAGGTGGGGTGTCATATATCGTGTTCTCTCACCCAGCATGTCTCACACAGCAGATGTTCTGCAAGAGGCTGCACTAAACCTGCTTAGGAACAATTGTTCCTGGCCCAGGCTAACCTTTGGGTTATGCAAGGGAATTGTCTGGGAGATTGCTAATAGTTATGGGCCAAAACTGTACTGGAGAGTGTGCTACTGGTCTTCAAGTATAGATAGCAACACATCAGCTGTTCTGCTTTGGACCTGCCCTGGCAATGTTGCAATTCTAGTAGAGACCCAGCCATAGTTAACGTGGTTTTGAAGGCAATGAACCTGGGATAAATCATTTTGACTGTCAGCAGGACTTACTATTCCGGTGTTGGAGCTGGATCACATGGCTTTCTGTCAGTTCAGAACAAGCTCAACTGTGCTTGCAAAATAACATGCAAATACATCGTAACGCAGAGCATTATATAATCAGATCCTCATGCCACAGGAAACAACATGTTCCAGAAGTTCCTGGAAGTTTGTGAAGGAGTGGAACAGTGCAATTCTTTTTTGTAAAACACAGAACTTTACACAACGTGCAGTTAGGCCTCTGGGCAAACCGAACCAAGAAACGGCTGCTGATCAAAATCCCTCTGATGTCCATAGGAGTGTTTCTATGGACTAAGTCATGAACCATATCCCAGATTCTTAGTAATTCATGCCACTTTATCATGGACATATCTACGCAATTGCAGTGTTTGACTAGATGCTCTACTCAAATGGTTCTGTGTTAGAAGACCATGACAGTATCTTGCCTGTCTTCTCCTTTGGAGTGCTTCACAGGTTTACCTATGCTCCCTGCCATGGTCCCAAACACTTTCTCCCACTGTGATTAGTCAGATACTTCACTCCACTGCAGTCTGTAGCTGAAAATGCTCCCTCCTGCCTGACACGTTGCATCCTGGAGCTCCAGGTCTTCCAAGACTGTAAGCCTGACAGAAAAGAACTACCATGGTATCCAGCAACATGCCATCCCATAACTAGAGCAGTAGGTACGGCAGCAGTGAAGAACAGGCAAGAGAAAGCTGGGTCTCAAGTGTGACCATAAGGTGTCATCTGCCTGAGTCCTCTGAGAACTGATCAACTCGATTGCCTTTCCGTCTGCCCTCCTTTGGCCTTCTGACTGAAGTTTCATTGAATTATTAAAAATACACACTGTTGTACTGGGTGTCAGTGCTAAGGGTTTGGCAGTGGTGAGGCTGCAGGGGTAGCCTCGATGAAGAGAGGTCCAGGCTGCCCAATGCCAGAGACAGCAAGTTCCTGCTGGCTCTGCATTGGACCTAGAATACACCCAGCTGACAACAGTCCAAGGACAGACAATGTGTTGGCAGGTGTGCACCATCTTCAGGCTACTATCAAGGAGTGGAAAAAAGTAAAATGGCAAAGTCTGCAGTGAAACTAGGGATTCACCAGACAAAAGAGGCAACACATTTCTGTATTTCTCATTCTAAAAAACACGGAAGGTCTCCTCAGCTGAGTTGAACAGAGTCAAAAAGCCAAAGACTGCTCTGGCTTGCACGTTAGCGCTGCAGTGGGGTATCCAGGTTCTTTAGCCACATAAGCCATCCATTCTTTCCCTTTCTGTCCCTACTTGCAGCAGATGAGGTCATCTTCTTTTTCCTTTCTGTCCCACTGCTAAGAGAACTGCAGCACAGGAAGGACTTGCAGAAATAAGAGGACAGCATCCACTTCCTTCTCACGCTCTTTTCCATCCTCTAGAAAGATCAGGCCCTCGAGCTTACCGTGTCCTCCTCCTTTGGTGAGCTCCTCAGGACGTTCCATAAATCACGCTGAATGTGCTCTGCTTATACCACCAATCAGAAGCTGGTGCAGTCCTAGACTGAGTGCTGCACCAGTATCATGGGAAACATGTGACGTACAAAGCAGTTCATTAACTGTACCAGAAACCCCACAGGGCTACATTCCTACAACTGTGCCATTACAGAAGTATTTCTGACCACTTGCAGAGACATCCTCTAAGACGGGCAGATGTTTCTAAAACCTGAAAAGAACATTTCATGAAGATATTTCCAGTGTCACTAGCTGGGAAACAGTCTAAGCACCAACACTGAGAATGAGCATTAGAAATTTTACAAGACTGAATCCTCACATTTCAAAGTGCAATAACCAAAATCTAACTATTACAGCAAACTCACACCAATGTTTTAAAAATAAGTCCCTGTCACCCCAGTGTACTAGTTTTGCATGTATTTATTAGGAAGTTCTGAACACCTGACTAATATTTTTATCTCTGAAAAGCGATATAAATCACATTCCTATTTAACATGTCTCAATGACTTCAGATCAAACTTGTTCAGTTCATAAGCAAAATGGTGACCTGTGTAACTAACATCTTTGCACATACTCAACCTAGGCTGTAGAATGCTACCTCTGTGTAGTCAGTGCCACAATCCCCAACATATATATTCAAAAGCTGAAATCTAATTAGCAATTCTGAACAAACTAGACTGAAATCCTGTCCACTCCGACCATTCGAAATAAAAAAAATAAAAACTTCATCTTTGTAATTGCAAAAATACCCAGGGGGTTGCCAAGAGACTGCAAATGGCCCTAGTTCAGCTAAGCATAGACTAAAATTAAGATGCTTTCTTCAGTATTGCTATTAAATGCTTTGCTGAATTGGGGCCTTAAAGATGACCAAGGACATACCCAGCATTTTCAGAAAGTCAACTCACAGGCCTTAAATAAATTCTGGCTTTGGATGAAGGATATGGGACTTTCAACCTTGTAACATTGCTTTGAGGTATTTCGCATTGAAAGGTGAAATTTTAGAGGTTTCTGTGTTTCATATTATCATTGGATGTATCTCTTGAAAGCAAAAGCTTTACACATTTGATATAGTTTGCAAGGGGTTTGAATACCTGTGTAGTTTTTATGCACAAGTAAAATAACCTCAGCATTACTTTTTTTAAAATCAATTATAAAAGACACTGCAACTTCAAATCCGTGTTTTTAATGTAAGATACCACATATCCAAAGTATTTCACAAATAATTTATCAAAATAGACTACAAAAGCATCATGGATGAAAATTTTTCTGCTAAAACTTTTAAAAGGATAAAAAATTGTGAGTGGAGCATATGCTATTCTGGAAGCAAATCCTCTCCTAGTTCTTCATCAGCAAAGTCATCTTCCTCGGTTATTTTTCTTGCTGCAGTTTTTGGTCTTTCTGCTTGTGGGCCAAGTGGATCTATGTAGGAGGCGTCTAGGGTTTAAATAAATACATTTGAAACAGTTACCTGCAAGTAATTTTAGCTTTGTTTCAGACATATACAATCAAATACAAGAGTGATTTTAGCATTACACATCTGTAAGGTGTGTCTGAAATGCAAACCAGAAAGAGCACATGAACACTGAAGGAGAACAAGATACCGCCTTCAGGAACTGAGGCATGGCACAAGAGGAAAGCACCTGAATGCTAGTGATAGAAGCTTTATTTCCCCCTTCTTTTTTAAAAAAGTAAATTTATCTTTATTTTATTACAGTCATTAAGTGAGAAAAAGACTTTGGAAAAGTGCATGAAACAGCAAGACTGATGAGTTGGTTAAGGAAGGGCATTTTAGGAAGTACCACATACCCCACGGATCTGGGTTTTTAAACCCCTTTGAAAATTCAGTCTTAGTGAAGAACTTACGACTGCAGAACCACAAGAACTGACTAAAGGATGCAGCAGACGGATATCGAAAGTAATACATTTTTACATGGGCCACATTTCTTAATATTTACAATTACGTTATAGTGAGCTCTGAACAATGAAGCTAAAGCCATTCTTCACATTTATTTCATGAGGAAAATGTTTTCCTAATAGTCCCATTTTACATGCTCTTCCAGTAACTTATTTTTTCCATCTCCCACTCTTTAAGGGCCAGGAAAATAAGAAGGTATAAGATGCCACTTGCCTATTTCTTTACTGCCACTACTTTCATAGGGTTCACTTGTTCCAGGCAAAGCTTTTAGTTTGGCGCTCATTCTTTCCCCTTTGGTACCACTGCTATCTGGGGGGGTGAAAAATTGAAGACAAATAACACGCTGTTATGTTCTGTGAAATCATGATACAAGAACAACATAAATTCAGCTACTATTTGTCAAACAAGATTTGGATGAAACCATCTTTTCATGATGGATACAGTACTCATTTGTAATAGTGGTCTTTAAAACACAATGGATGCTGTGTCCACACATATGTGTGTTACTTTGGAGTAAACACATTAAAATATTTCTGCTTCAAATGCTGACATTTCAGTTGCTTATAAATTACAGTCACATTTTGGAGTTAAAATAAGCATGATAAATATAAACACTGTCACAATGTATATGGGCATTTCATATGCCTGTGTGCTTACTAATATATTAGTATGATCCACCTGTTGAATGCTGTCACAGTTAAACACAACAGTAACTTGGCTTTTAATTAGAAGGGTGTATTTGGCGCGTGCTGCCTGCATGGCAGCAGGCACAGCTCATGCATACAGACCATCCTGGCCCTGCATCTTGCTGTAAACACTGTGCTGGCAGCTCAGTTTGCAGCGGGGCCCCAAGGAATGTGTCGGCTCCGAGGGCCGCCTTGTGCCCAGACGTCAGATTAATATTCTCTTGCCACAGCAGTATTCCAGAGACTTTAAATATTCTGTTCACCTCTAAATCTCTTTTCCACATTCATGGCAAGCTTTCAGTCTTGTCTGCTACAACACGTATTTATGCAATTTTTTTCTCCTAGGAGAAAATGTTTCATGTTTGGCTTGGTATATTTACAAGGCAGGACATGCCACGCAGCCAAATACAAACATGCTCATTTACAACATGAAACAATGTTGTTATTAAAAGTCCTCCATCTGTAAGGAGGAAAAATGAGTTTCATTCAGCAAAGATTGATTACAAAGTCTGGACTTGGCGACACATTTCCATTGTCTTATTTACTCTAAATGTTCTTTTTATAAATATTGTTATTATTTGAAAAAAAAAGAAACAAACAAGAAAAAACAACAAAACTTCCACAAAGATGACAAACATTTCTTTCTCTATAAGTACTACTGCAGACTTCAGTCTGCTCAGCCCTGAATTGGAAAACAATGTCTCTGCTCCAAGAGAGATCGAATACATACAGTCAGGTCAGATAGTTCATATGTTTACAAGAGACAGATTACAGCTGAAACTTCAAAGCAATAAGAAGCTACTTAAATGTACATCGACCTCCCTTGGATCAGCTCTCACTGACAGGTTCCATGGAAGAAGTGAATGCTTAACGAAGGATTTGAAGAAACTGAGGGAAATCAATGGGTTTGATTGGGGGAGCTCAACCAAAAGGCTATGAAATTACAAAAGGGCCCCCTCTTGAATTGAGTGGGCTTTCGACAGGCCTGCGCAACAAGGAGGTTAGTGCTGAGCTTCAGACATGTGTGGATGAAAACAGTTTGCGGGCAGTTTAGAGGAGAATACAAAATGTTTAACAGGAAAAGAAAAAGTAGGATAGGAGTAGGCATAGAGTCTTCTGGAATGGAAAACAAGTGACTTACAAAATAATAAAGTTGGAAGAAGCTGTAAGGAGATGCAAAGACAGGAATGATATTGCAGAAACTACACTAGGGGACGACTGGACTAGTCAAAGAATCTCCATAGGTTTAATTGGTTGGTTCCAGAAAGGAAGAACTGTGTGTAATGAAAATAAAAGAGGAAGAAGATGGCTTATCAAAGATTTTCAACTCTGAAGGAGGAAGACACATGGGATTTAGTAACACTACCAGAGGAAGGTGAAAGATTTTATATTAACTAAAAGAAGAAGAAGAAAAAAAAAAAGGATGGTAGACAAACCAAAGTAGCTGGGATAAATGTAATACCCACAAGCTACCTGTACATCTTACTGCCCTAAACCAAGCAATTGAAAACAGAAGCGCTCTCAGATATCCTAGGATCCTTAAGTCTTATTAGGGCTACATCCAGGAAGGGAATGAAGCAGAAAGTTCAAAATTCAAAGACAAATTTTTCCCCCTTTTCTCGCCCCATCTAGTGGATATCCAACCCTTGCAGTACCTAAACCTCACCAACTGCCCCTCACTGCATAGCTCTGAAGTTCCTTAAGTGCTTACTGCTATGATCGAGTTGCCCAAAATGGCCATCCTGAGCAGCAACATGCCTGCAGGATGTTCAGCATGCGACCTTGGTGCCTAAGCTCCCCTTTCCATTTATGAGCCAGTAAATGGAATTGTGAGTGCTGTTGTGAGTGAGTGAGTGAGCAAATGTAGCTGTTCACGCTTCAGACTTGATTCAGTTGCCCAAACACATTATTTACTGCATTTAATGAACTAAACCAGCTCACCAGAGTGTTAAATTAATGCTGGAAGTAGTGCAAGAGAAGCAGCAGCATAGGACCAGGAATGGGAATGTAAAGTGCCAAGAAGGGCTGGACTGTTGTTTCCAGAAGCAGCAAGTTACTTGGATCAGTACGTCCCACCTTTACTAAATGCACCCTGGAGAAAACTATGAAGAGTACATGTCTGTGGGCACAGTGTCCTCTTCACACTTAGGCAGGAAGAACATACGGATGCCTTACAAGGTTAGATTAAAGACCTATCTAAACTGGCTTATTGTCCATACAAAAGAACAAAACGATGCTTAGGGAAGAGCATCATAAGTAGAGCAGCATATACAGTAACTCTCCAAGAATAATTTCCTCACCTCCAACAATCTGTAAATCAAGCATGTGTTTCAGGGAAGGGGGCAGCTTTTCATATTTCATAATGGATTGGTTGATTTATTGTCCAAGAACTTGTTCAGTCTTCCCTTGAGCCCCTGTGAAATCTTTGCATCCATAACAACCTGAGGTAACGAGTTCCACCTTTTCATTTACTATGGACCCACCAATCTAGCCCCACTTCCCCACAGAAAGGGGCACCCTGCCCTTTCCGCCCTGCAGTGCATCCCCCTCCACCTGCTGTCAAGTAGCAGCAGGCTGTGCTGGAGCGGTTACCAATATATTGAAAACTAACCTAAAGAAAACTTCTTCTCAAGTGGATCAGCAAAGGAACGCAGCTCACCTTACCTCTATATGACTATTGTATCTACAGCAAGAGGGAAGGGAATGTTAACATCTCTTCTGGTAGCAGCCCACAGTTAGTTTAAATTAAGCTAATATGCAAAACTCACATCAAGTCTCCGTGGACTGCACTGTGCTCTGAGCGCACCTAAAAACGTGGAAGAGCAGCTTCTTTCATTTTAAAGTACATCTAGAAGAGAGTAAGAGGTGGTTGACACCATCTACCTCACATGGAGATGTCAGACAGCAGCTCAGGAAGCAAGAGGTCTGGCTTCAATGCCTTCCTTTCCCTGAGGGAGTTCAAATCCACAGTCTCATCTTTCAGGAGGAGTGCCCTAGCTGTTGAGCCATTTGGGGTAAGGCTTTTTTTGACACTCTGCCATGGGATACAGGATTTGGCTACCAATATGGCAGCTATTAAGAGTTCTGCTGACCATATAACATGATCTGCCAGAAGTTTAAATCTCATCTTGAAATTACTTTTTGTAGTTCTGTTTGCAGATAAATCATCTATGTGTTTTTATTCAGTACACGTACATACATAATTTAGCCAATGTTAAGGAATATAAGCTTGCTGTAGACTTCAGGATTTTGGTGTCCTACAGTGAAGAGGACTTCACGGGAGGAATTGTTTTTAAAGCATTTTATCACAAACATCCATACTTTTGGGAGGCGAGTTTTACAGTTTCTACTCACTGTTCCCTGTGCCACCCCCTCTCAATCCAGGAAAAAGATTTTATACACATTCCAACTTTTGGATTATAGGAATGAAACTAACTTTCACTAAAGTAATACACACAAGAAAACAAAGCCAACATTGGGACAAAAGATAATAATAAAAACTCTGGATGAAAAGCGTTGGTTTTTTTTTTTTTTGGTAGTTTATTTAGGATATTTACATTATTGTATTATAACATGTTCTGTTCGTTCAGATGTGTTCAGCTTCGTACAACAACTAGTTTGAACTAATTCCTCCACATACAATTTGGAGGGGGGGCAGAGGGGAAAGAATGTTTAAAACTTAGTTTTAAAAAATGGTTAATTTTATATGGCAGAATAATGAATAAAGCAACGTATTGCAAAAGTGTTCTTATTTTGGAATAATCCTATTTTAACTGGTGGTATCTAGCAAAAAAGATTCTAAATCTTTTTAAGTGTTTCTCTACTTCCTACTTGGCAAGATACCTCTGTGTGTATCACCTCAACCCATAAAATCCATGACATTTATATTTATTTTTTAAAGGAATCTCACTAGTTGCAATTACAGCGATGAGATTACTGTGTTAGAAATTACTCCAGTATCACAAAGGACATAAACTAGAATTCTTAGTACCATTTTACTCATCAGGAAAAGATATAAAGGGTAAGGTGGTTTGGTAATCTGCCGCCTCTGCAAAATGTTTACGTAACAAAGTGCATAGCGGGCTAATGCTTTTAAAGACTACAGATGCTTCACTAAACCCAAAATGTGTTTAAATGCAGCTCTGTGTGTCTTTCATATTTGGGTTGAAGACACCATCTTTGGAGAAGAGAGCGCTTTGGCTTGGATTGACCAAAAAGAACAGTAAATTCAGCATAGCCGCAGAATGTCATACTAATGTCACGACTGGCGTGGGAAGCAGATGCAATTTTTAACTCCACTGCAGTTCATTTCGGTTTGAAATTCTGTTGAATGAAAATTGTTTATGGTGTGTCAGTTCAACTAACTCCTTAGGCGAGTTCAGGAGCAGAAAACAGATAAAGATGTTTTCTTCGCTCAGATATTTTCCCTATCCATTTATTTAAAACAATTTTTTTTTCCCCACACACAGCCAATGGAACTGTCCCACAACCATTTGTAGTTAATGAGGCATCATCAACAACACACAAAGCCTAGAATATATAAGTGATCGTGAAATCCTGGCTGCAAGGTGACAAGGTAATCTCTTGCCTCTATCAGTGTCAAGATTATTTAGGACGCTTATAGCCCTAACCTCTGTAATGTGCTTCCATATTATATGAGGAGATCCCTATGGGCTGGTAAAGGGTGTTTAAACATGGGATGTTTGTTTGGGATGGACAAACCCATTTTGCCACTGACATAGTCACAGGTGAAATGAAAAAGGGAAAAGACACCTCAATTATTCTCGCATGGTCTCCTTCCCAAATTCATCTGGACAGGCTTAGGTAACAAGGAGAACGCAAAGTGCACAGCCTTTCATCTTCAGAATTCAACACTGCTTCTTTGGGCTCCTGTCCGAGACTGCACGGCTCCTCTCATCCAGCGCAAACCTCCTCTCTCATGCAGCACAAAACTCCCCATTCAGAGAGCAGGGCGAATGCAGAGACCAAGTAAACACTGCTATGGTAATGTGTTCCTTCAAGTCATACTTCCCCTTATCTATGAAAACCCTTGTGCTATTGAACAGAAAAATCTCTTTGGGTAGTAAACCCCCCAGTGCCCTAACTTCCAAATTCTGGATGTTACTATCACATCTCTTCAAACACGAAAAAGTCAGTATGAAAACAAGAAACTATTATTGGAAAGGAAATCTTTGAGAACTGCCTGAACTCAGATGTACTGTTATCTCCCTTCAGGGTTTTGTAGGTTTGAGGTTTTTTTATTCCTTTCCCCTTTTTTAAATTAAAAAGAAGACTTTTAAGGAAGTGTACCAATGCCATCTGCTTCCAACAAGAATCAAAACCACTGAAAATCGTAAATCTGGTAATTGTGGGGAGAAGAAAATTTCACTCTTTTTATAATAAGAGTGAACAAATGTGTTCAATTTTGGGCAGGCATTTTAGATTTCATGGTTATCCTTCTCACAAGGCAAGAGCAGACTAACTGACACTGATATAGATGACAGTTTGCTTGGTCTCCCGTTTTCCATTCTGTCGGTACACAAATCATATTCTTCAAATTATGCTTTGGTGCATCTCACGCACCTTCTGTTTTAATTTATATATCAGCAAAGTAGTAGGCATCCTATGCAGTACAAACCCTGCTGACTTATTTATCTTTCCTCTTAGCTTCCTCTTTAAAAGCAATTTTAGATCATATTTCCTAAAACAAGGAAGAGTAAATTATTACTATTCCTAATATAAATAACTATATAGGGACAACATACTTGGGGGGAAAAAAAATCTGTTAGGAATGCCAGCAAGTATAGGGACATTGAGCTGGTAAGAGGAAAGAAATAAAACATGCATTATACTTAAAATATTGGGAATGCATACCCACTGTATTTAGCTAGTAAGTACTAAACTGAGGAGGATTCCATACTTCACTGGGTTCAGTTAACGATAGCAAATCTCTCGTATAGTGTAGGAAAATGGTCACTTTTGGTCTTGGCAACACCACTGGAAAAGACTAATCTTAAAATGTATACAAATGTTTCTTATTTATTTTGAAGCTATTAATTTATCAAAAGTGCATTAAGATTCTGATATAAAATAACCCACGTTTATACTTCATAGGCCATGTACAGAAATTTTTTAAACTGCAAAATTCAGACTCATAACCCATGTGAATAAACAATGTTCGGGTCCTCAGGCTTCTCTCAGTCATTCTCAGTGACAGACAAGACAAACCACAACATAGTCCTTAACATCTGTTTCTGTGAGTGTGCAGTTTCTTCACTGATAAGGTTCCCCAGAGTCAACGTTACTAGTTAAAAATGTGTAATGCCTTTGACTCCTTCTAAAAATATATGAAGTGGTACATCTCATCACAACTCTTATTTAGGAATCCCAGCAGAAAGTTACCTCCAGGCTCAATACAGGACCTTCTTTGTACCTCTGCTTGTTTGCAGAGTCATTTCCAGAAAGGTTGGGTCTCTGGCACTGAATTTGTATAACAGAGACTTCTCAAGCATGTTCTGACACAGACTCGTTCCCAAACTCTCTTTGTTTTCCACCCCCATTCTTTCATGAATTTGACATAATATCTTGAGCAATTATCTAAGAATTATTGATAGGACAAATTCTAGGTCAATTCTGACCTGCTTACCCTCTCATCCTCTTTATGTCAGTATCCTAAATGTCTGCATTTGCTCTTCTCCCATGACTCTGGTTATGGGGGGAAAGCGTAATACCTTGGAATTACTAGAGCTTGCAGTCAAGCTCCTCATGTGGTCAACTTCAGAGGGAAGGGATTTTTTTTTTTTTTAATTTTTTAAAAAAGAAAACTTTCCAGAGATACTTCTGTCTTTAAAAGAAGTATTGACAAACTGGTAATTTGGGGGATTAATGATGTCTTAGCATCTTTCCAGCTTGATCGTTATTTATATCCTCTTCTGCTAAATTACTGACTCGCTCTCTCCCAATAACATACCCCTCTTTCACTAATGAGGGGAGGGATAATTACAAAATGTAGCTGTAAGAGAAGAGACTGTTTGTGCCATTTGCCTGTACACCCTTGCCTGCTACCACTGCTGCTCTTCATTTCTGTTTATTATAAGCCAAAGTGGATCTCCACTGTGTGACAGAAAACAGGGACCGATGCTGTCTCATGCTGCTGTTTTGCTGGCACCTCCAGCTGGCTGCCTGATCACAGGGCTTCTGTAAGAAAGGAGAGTCCAGAAATGTTTCCATCCCTCTCTGTTACCAAAATAAGGAATTTCACCCTAAGAATTACTTTGGCCTGAGGCCCAGAACAGGTAAAATTCAATCCTAGGTGAATGGTGTTTTTTCGACTATATCTAGAAGTGATTTAAAAGCTTCTCTAGTGAAACTACTGAGCTGAACAAGGAGTAAGATCTCACTTAAGCATCCAACACTCATTCTTAACCCTTAGAGAACCCAGGAGAGCAGTCCTCAAATGTAACAGCATTCTACAGTCATCTTAAGACTACACTAGTAATTTCTATGACTTTTCACGACCCTACAGAATTGGACAAATGTAGTAAAGCATCTGCTGTGTCAGTGGAGAAATAAAATTACCAAATAAGAAAATAAGTCCATAAATTATTTCTCTGTAAAAGGAAGGGAAGAGAGGCAAAAATTTATAGGGGCTATCATTTTATAAGACCCACCGACTAGATAAACCAAAAGCAGAATACAAAGAAACCATTTCCTTTTTGGGTCAAAATAGGGATTTTTTTTTTTC